TGTTTGTTTTGCTTTTTTCGTGTGTTTTTTTTTTGGGGGGGGGTGTTTATTATTTGTTGTTTTGGGGAGGAGTGGGGTATGGGGGGTGGTTCTTTTATGTTGTTGTTTTTGTCTTCGCTTTTTTCAGTTTCTATGTATCCTGTACCCAAACAAGACACTCATTTAAGTTGTTCTCTTAACTGGTATTGACTGAAAAATCCAGGGACCGCTCTTGGAATTGTTAAAATATTGAACATGATGTGCCCGAGAAAAGTTCAAAAATCAAATTTTGAATCTAAACTGTACGAACAGTTTTTCAAGTTCTCAAATTGAACCTCCAAATTAGATGTCAGTCAATAATGACCATGCTAGGAGTATTATTATAATTTCATGTGTATAACCTGTCCAAAAAAATAAAACAGGACAATATTAAGTTCAGAAGCATGGAAGCTCTGGAAACTGTAGTTATTAAAACAAATTTAACTGTCTTTGACAAATTACGCAAATTGTACCACTTCACTTCAGCTTCAGACTTTAAAAAACAGAAAACGTGTTTATCACTAAACGTCAGCTTAAAACTTGTTTGTTTTATGTTTAGGTAAGCGAATTGCGGCACTTGCAACAACAGTTAAGTCATATAAAAACCGAAGATGAGAGGTGTAACAAGAGATTGACAAAAACAAAAAGAAAAAGGCGAGATAAGGACGACGGGTGTTTCGCAGGAAAGAAGGAGCAAACCACACCAGAACACCCGCCAATCACCTACGCATAATTCACAAAGAATACGAAAAGAATAAAAGATGAGGAGAATGAGAATAAAAACGCCAAGAACACCTGTGACATAACTCCCAATCAATTATACTCTCATATTGACGTTACCGGTCAACAAAGAATCCTTTCACAGCACAGCTCCGATGTCGTCACAGTAGGAAAAGAAACACATCATACACGCACACAAGCACACACATAAATCCATACTATACACACGTGAATGTGCACAATCAATATTAGATCTTGATCAAAGAGAAGGCGTCAAAACAGATCGTTACGACACTGTGGTCGCGTAGAGATCGCGTGTGATGCTCTGTCTATCTATCTATCTATCTATCTATCTATCTATCTATCTATCTATCTATCTATCTAAAAACAGACTGTTAAGACGCTATGGTTGTGTAG